TATATATATATTATAAAAGATAAAAGATAAATATGAATATCACCTCAGTATTCTGTCTCATGTCAGACTGGTTCAGATGTATGAATTTATATGGTTTTAGAGAGCAGATGCTCTTTAATGTCCAGTTATCTCTATTAACAAACCATTAACTATGACTTTTGACTCAATAAACTCCTAATTTGCTGCTTATTAATAATTAGTAAGGTAGTTGTTAAGTTTAGGTATTGAGTAGGATTAGGGATGTAGAATATGATAATGCAAAATATGTGCTTGATAAGTACTAATAAACATCAAATATGTAAATAATAGGCATGCTATAAAGCAACTAGTTAACATGGAGAATTGGTCCCAATACTAAAGTGTTACCATTCAGTTCAGTTAGAAGAATTTATCTTTTTACAGATGCATTCAAAATTATTGTTAACTATATTCAGTTATATTATTATTATTATTTAAATAAAAAATGACATAATGATATAAAGACAACTGCTTTATTCTACATAAGGTTAGTCCTCCCTCGTGTGGGTCATCATGTTTGTTTGGCATACCTGCGTCATGACATCACTGCACGTCTCAATAGGCGGCACGCCTGTGATGCGCTTCATTAATGTTAAATACTGAGTCAAGGAAGCCATCACTGCAACGTTCGTCTTTAATTCGTCTTTAATCTTCTCTATTATACTTTTTTTTCAGGTATCTGCAGAACAAAATGCACAAAACACACTTCCCGTTTGAGTATAAATTCTGTTCAGTGTGATGATAATGAAGTATACGTGTTAAAAACAGTTCATCTGACTTAATAATTGTGTGTCATGAGTGTAGTGTGCGGTTAGCACGATAGCCCGCTATTCAATACAAATGGTCAATATGTTGATGTTATATGAGAACATCCCCCCCCCCCGTGAGTTATGCATTGCATTTGTCTTAATCAATTGAATATGTGTCTTTATTGTGTGGAGTGCACCGGACGCGATTGATTGAGCGGTGTTTAGATATGAGCATGTGGTTAATATATTAGCTGCATTGATGTATCATCTGTTTCATACCGTCATTTTGTGTTAAGAGTAGATGTTGATGAAAATGTTATATATTTCCCCAGTGCTTATGTGTACATTCTAGAAATCTTATACTGTTTGTAGAAAGCATGAGATTTGAGTGTCGTTTGTGAAGGCAATGCCTTCTTTTTTGGGCTGGAGCATGTGAACTGTGTGGAGGGTGTTCTTCATGTGACCTGTTGATTGTATTTTCTTGTTCCTTCTAGTGTGATGGAAAGTGTTTGAAGTCTCATGTTTATAGCCAGTCATTACTGGGAAAAAGAAATGATACATGCATTGATGTGTATACATGTTGCTTTTCTTATTCATTAATGTTAAATACAGAGTCAAGGAAGCCATCACTGCAACGTTCGTCTTGAATCTTCTCTGTTATACATCTTTTCAGAGGTACTACTGTCACGGTTGCACTACTGTGAGGAGCGCGGAGCGAGGAACGAAGGAGGCGAGAAGTACATCAATCGAGAGATTTTAATGAATTCAAGGGAACACGGAAAACACACGTAGCACTCGGACGAACGATACCGGACAAAGAACTCTGAACAAAACACTTCTTAAGAACACAACATAATCAGGGGAAGACGAGACACACCTGGAAACAAATTAGAAACAATCAGGGAGCAGGAACAGGAAGATAACCAAATAAGGGCAAAGAAGGCACATGGTGAGCAAAACACACAAAACAAGGAACAAAGTCTGACAACTATATTATTAGCTCAAGCTGTTGTGAATCCTGCCCACTTCTTTGCATCGTCAGCACATGCTTCAGTGCTCTGAGAGTGTTTATAGTGCTGTGAGTTTAACACTTCATGACTGAGAGCAGAACACAACACAATCTTCATCATCACACAAGACACAACAACAACAATGAACAGCAACCTCATCCTCATCTGGACCATTGTAGCTTTTATTCATGGTAGGATGTTTATTTTTGATATTGATAATGCTATCATTGTTTTTATCATTTTAATATTCTGCTGTTAAGAAGATTTGCAAACTAATTTATTTTATTTTATTTTATTCAGAATCCAGTGGAATCACTGTGACCCAGCCTAAACTTAAAACTGTCCAACAGGGTCAAACAGCGACAATAGAGTGTAATATAGATGTAGGAATATACAGCAACTACTTAGCCTGGTATCAGCAGAAACCTGGAGAAGCTCCTAAACTCCTCATTTATTACATAAACAGCCTCCAGTCAGGAACTCCATCTAGATTCAGTGGCAGTGGATCTAACAGTGATTTCACTCTCACCATCAGTGGAGTCCAGACTGAAGATACAGGAGATTATTACTGTCAGAGTTACCACTACATCAACAGTAAATATGTGTTCACACAGTGATAAAGAGTCGTACAAAAACCTCAGTCAGTCAGAGTCACAGTGACTGCACTGATACAGCTGAGAGACACTGCAGCTGCTGATGAGAGGATGTGATTAAACACATTTACTTTATCATTTACTTATTTGAGACCCTGGACCACAAAACCAGTCTTAAGTAGCACGGGTATATTTGTAGCAATAAAAGATAACAAATAATTCTGCCCGAATATTCGGCTGAGGCTGGCCGAGTCTGGTGTTTGCTATAGACAGCAGGTGAGCCAAGGGATCAGCATGATATTATACACAAACCTCTAAAGTCACGCAATAATGGGTGTGTGAAGTGAATGAATGTAAACTTCATGAATAAAAAGAACGCAAATCAAATGCTGCTTTGCTGTTGCCTTTCCGTGATTCTCTCAGAAATCAGAGCTTGGCAAAAGTAATATCAACTAAAATAATACATCATACACGTTCTACTATTTGTGTAGGCTATATTTAAAAGGTAATGGTTTAAACTTTATAGGCTACGATATGATACACGAATGAATGGAATAAGCACAGCACAATCAATCAAACCAGCTCTCTGTCAAGAGTAGGCTAATAATCAACTTAGATACAGATACATGTTCTACTAGGCCTACGTGTTTGCTTCTTTATCTTTTGCTGGTTTGCGTGGCACATGCACATTTGTTTAGTGAAGTTCAAAAATGACTCGCTTAAAGAGTTCTGCGTAATTAAATGTGCACCTTGAAATAATTCAGCTGTGTTCAAATGATCACTAAACGTTTGTCATGAAATCTCTCTGCTTGTATGATATATATTTTTTAAAGAATTATTAATTTTATATTTTTGAACACTGAATAGGGCAAATAGTCGAAACACAAATATGTTTCCATACTCTGTTCTCTTTTTTTCCCCATACTTTTCCAGACCTGCAAATTACTTAAGTGAAATACTTTTTAAAACTGTGCAGGAACGGTGAGCCAAAGGAAGGCCTGTTGTTTCACATAAACCTCTAAAATTACAATGCAGAAACAAGTGTGTGAAGTAAATGAGAGTAAACGCTATGAATGAAATAAGAGCAAATAAAATAGCAATGTTGCAGTTGCCTTTTTCCATGCATTTCCTGGAAATTTCTTAAATCAACTTGCATATTTCTAAACTGCATAGAAAACATTAGTGTTTTAATTAGAAAAAAAAAAAAATTATTTATCGGATCAGAAAGGTCCCCAAGCTAGGACTCGAACTCACGTTCCTCGAAGCACAATCGAACTACATCTCGAACCACTGCCTATACAAGAGCCGTTTCTCAATATGCGTTCTTGTCTGTACTTGTGTTCTTGTGGATTTGTTACTGTTCCAATTCAAAGTTCACATCTAGCCAAGTACAGTTCAAATCCCCGGATGTGTTCTTGCTCCGCCCCTTTTATCAAGGATGCATCAAGAGGTGACTTGTGCGAACTTGAGGCAGCCAGGTATCCCAGAATGCATTTTGCTCCAACCAGCGAGCGTTAATGGCAGAGGACAAAACCCTCTTTGTAGGATACATTTGACTGAATTTTTTGCTTTTGTCTTTATTTCCTATATATAAGTCTCCAGTGTTTGGGAAGCTACTCTGAAACTGTAGCTTTACAAGCTACTGGTAAATTAAAGTAGTTAAGCTACATTCAAGCTACCCTTTTGAAAAAGTAGCTAGCTATGCAACAAGTTACTGTCAAAAAGTAGCTACACTGTAAAAAAAAGTCCCGTAAAAAAAATGGTAAATGACTGAAACAAAAACCATAAAATTAAAGTAAAATATCATAATTGAAACAAGGAAAAATCTGTAAAATATTTTTTTTTTTCTGTAAAACCTTTAATAAAAATTTCTGTAAAATTATTGTTTTTGCACTGTTTTTGTTTGGCAGCCATAGCTGCCAGTCATTTACCATTTTTTTAACGATTTTTATTACAGTGTAGCTACATTGAAACTACTTTCAATTTTTTTAACATTACAAATAACTAAATAATTATTAATGAAGAATTATAATGAAGTTATAAGTAAAATATAATTAAGTTATAAGTAAAATATTCAGGGTTTAAAACAACATACTGTAATGCAATCATGATTTCAAAGAGTAGGGTGAATTCAGGTTGATTGGGACAATTTTCCAAGCCATTTCAATGACAAAAAGTGTCCCAATCATTTGATTTTAATCTAGATTTAAACTGACAGAGTGTGTCTGCCTCCCGAACAGTGTTAGGTAGATTATTCCAGAGTTTGGGCACTAAATAGGAAAAAGATCTGCCGTCAGTGATAAAGAGTCGTACAAAAACCTCGGTCAGTCAGAGTCACAGTGACTGCACTGATACAGCTGAGAGAAACTGCAGCTGCTGATGAGACGATCACAAACAACACAAATATTTTTTTGTAGCAAATTGAACATTAAACACTACAAGTCTGCCCTTTTTTCATCTTGAATCAAAAAAATAATACTTATTTTCACATTTTTTACTCTCCCTGTTAAGTCCCCTGCAAAGCAGTCAACAGTTGATTGAATCATTCAGAAGGTCAGTATGACTGCTGAGTCTCAGTGTGAACAAACCTCATCTCTCCATTAGTTCAACTCTACTGACTCATTTCAGAGAATAAAGAGTCAAACAGTCAAACTCATATTTGAGTGATTCTGTTCCTCTCAGAATAGAGCAGCTCCATCAGCAGATGTTCAGCGTCCTCACAGGAGCTTCATGATGCAGTCAAACTACACAGAGTCCACACACAGAGAACCAGTAGTGATCTGAGGAAATCTTTCAGTGTTTGAGCTTCATAATTTGACTACACAGAATAGTTTCATAATTTCTTCCATTTGCAGGTGTTTTCATGGTTCAGTGAGTGAGCCCTGACCATCTCAATGCAAAAAAAAAAAGAAGACAAAATATGAATCAAAACAGACACAATCAATATTTATTATCTGAATGAATATTTAAGTGAATGTTAATAGAATTTTGAAAAAATACTTAATTATAGTTTTAAAACATTTTAAGTTTTTAATGTATACATTTAAATAACATTCCATCCATAAATGTTATATAAATATAATTATATATTTATATATATATATAATATAAATATGTAAGTTTATCTACTTGATCTCTATGAACACTTCCTTTGACAACGATCCTAAATCCACCAAACCCTTAATAAACACCTCAAAATCTAAACATTTAACTTTGAAAATCACATTAGAGCTCTGCCAAACAGTCAAATATTAAGATTGTGTATGAATCTATGAGCAGATGATCTTTAATATCAAGTCTAGTTTCAGCCCAGTAAAGTAACCATATTTTCCAAGAGAATCACCAGGATCTTTCTTTCAATGAGTGACATGTGTGCTTCTCAAACAAATGAACACATATTAAATCGACACAGTCATAGTTTTTTTAAACAAAATTAAACCCCAGTTAAATAAAAGAACAACACATTAATATTGTAAATGAATAAAGTATTTCTAGAACGATGTTGAGTGGTTTATTCTCTGTACACACAGAAGGGGGAGTCACTAGCATGTGAATCAACACTTATCTGACCATCAGCAGACGAGAGCTTTTGGCAAAAATAGCTGATGATCAGGTATCTTCAACATTCACTTTAGATTGCTTTCATACAGACAAAAATAAAGGACTGAGTGCAGCACATATTCATAGAGACAGCGAAACATAATATTAAAACTGCTGAAGTTTCAGGAATGTTTAAAGTTGTGAAATCTAAATTGGTATCTAAATGTCAAACAGTGACAGAAAGATGTTAAATGTATTGAAGAATATAGCCATTTTTGTCCATACTGGTTGTTTTTATGATCATTTATCAAGTGTTTTGTCCAGCAGTGGAGATTAATTGATGTCATTAAACTTGTCAATTTAAACATCTCCCTCTTATTTTACTTTGAATTAAAAAT